AAACGTCGAGAACAAATTCTACCGAACGACGGACTAAAAACCCTTTAGTTTCAAGGAATGGCCTCGAAAGTCTGACTCTTTTGAATTATTACACGGTAATTAGTGATGAGCAAAGCAAGACCACGACCAGACTCTCGTGTGTCGACCAAAAAGAATCGATCCAAGACAGTCCGGAAGCGCTACGAGAAAACAACGCCATTTTCCGCCCAATTTTGTCACGGAAAAGTTCGTTTGCTGCAAGAGTGCGAATGTAGGAAAATCCTTACCGATTCTGTGCGGCCCAAACAATAAGCCCCTTGACAGGATCCAAGGCGATTGCATTGGGCTTGATTGTATCGTTGGACAAAAGCACATGCTCTTTGCTTCCATCCAATCTGGACACACTGATGGTACCGCGTTTCGAGTCGCACCAGTACATATTTTCGGCCACCCAGTCGATTGCCAAACATGTTAACCAATCCACCGGAACGTTGTCGATAATTTCGTTCTGGTCCAATGGGAAGCTTCTTTCAGTGCCTGGAAAAACGATCAATCCAGCCCTAGTCCAACATTGGTTTCTATGGGTATTGACCCATAGAAACTTATACAGGGTGATTCAAAATTGGCGTCATTCCTCTGGTTGTTAAATTTAATTAATTAAATGTTTTAAATTAAACTCAGATATTTGCAAAAAACTAGATCACAAGGACAACAACAAAGTTTTTCAAGGCTATCTGCCTAATAGACATTTCGTAAATACTCCGGTAACCATGGTTAAACATGGAGCACAGGAAATACGTAAAAGAGACAGCCGGTTAGGATAACGGTGTCACCTTGCGGTCAATGTTGCAACAACACAGCCCCAAGAGTGCTGCCATCTTTTTGGGGCAAATGAGTACTATACCTAAATCGGTCACAACTGTCATCCAAAACCACCGGTTAAAGATTATGTATCATCGAGCAATATTATTGATCAAATCAAATACAATTCTGTTGTTCAGTGCTGCCCGTTTCACTCCAAACATCTTTGTGTCCCAATCACTGTGACTCTGGGCTCACATTTTGAGCAGCTTTTCGTGTTCGGTTCATTAACTGCTGCTCAATTTGAACCGGTGTTCGGAAAATCAGAAATTTAACGTGTTCTAGTGTCCTGTGCATATTCATACATGGAGTTATCGGGACAATTAAGTGTGCGGTGTTTGAGAAAGTGCAGTTGTGCAGTGCTTCAAGTACTCCTGGAAGGCGCAGCTGCAATGATCCCCAACTCCTGTTCCTCTAGGTCTGGAACCCGAGCACCTTTAGATTGTGTAAGTTTTTACAGCTTCTGCTATGTTACTGTGGCATTTTCCCATAACTAATCGCAAATTCGCTGTTGGTTTACATTTTGTGAAAGAAGCTTCAAAATAAGCCGCAGTTTGACAAATGCTTGTTATTATTGACAAAGGCTGTCTACCTGTCACTATCTGTTAAAGACAAAAAACGTCATTGCCGCTGTGACTTTTCCAAAATCCAAAAATAGTAGAAGAGTACTTTTTTATATCAAAAATTTGCGTAATTTGAGAAAAATATCGCAATTTTGCCTTTCGAACTCATGTAGCATCATATATCGGGTATATATTTATACAATATTGGCAGAGCATTTTTATATTGGGTCAATATTGTCAATTATTAGCCAATTTTACTCCAATATTAGCGTTTTTAACCAATATTGATGTATCTATACAAATACAATATTGGCAAAATATTTTTAATTTCCAGT